TTCAACGCAAAAATAAGAAAATCATCCTTGAAGAGGTTAAGCAGTTTCGATAGATAATTAAATTTTTCTGGAAAATATTATAGATCAATGCAACGCCATTTTTTGTTCAGTTTTGACAAATATGTATATTGAAATTTCTGTGAGGTTACATTTTTAACTGTTCTTCAGAAAACAGTAGAATAACATTACAGTTTTTTACCACACAACGTGGCTAATATTTCTGGGAAATGACTAATTATAAGAATAAAAAGAACACTCTAAGTTAATAATTACGTATTATAGTAACTTTATCCGCTGCGTTATTCTTATTAAAAATACCCGAGATCATTTATCGCAAGAATCCTGTAGATCTGTCCAAAGCTGGAACCTGGAAGGTTCAACTAATACGGCGAATTAATATCTAACCGAACGATCGATCTCTACCCCTAATCGATCTTTACTCACGGCCCTCGAGCCAAGCGACAGGAAATAAATCGAGGAGGAGGCACTGGATACGTAACTCGACCGCGACTTCGGCCACAATTGAATCACCACTGCTCCCTCCTATTTGCTCGCAAAAAAAGGCCAACAAGTGAGAGGATAGTAAATCGACGCTCCGGTAAGAATAGAATTCTCCTGGACGTTGATACACCGAAATCCCGACGACCTAATTAACTTGATTCCACGGCTTTAAAAAGTTCACAAATTCTGCTTTTTGCTTTTTCGCCCAACGAGAAACGTTATTTCCCACTTTTTTCCGTTTAATTTTATCTTAAACTGTATTACACTTTTCTCCTTTGCTTTTCTCTAAAAAAAAGAGGATATTAATAGAAAAGCGATTGAAGAAATATAGACTGTTTTGAAATACGTACGATATGTTTGAAAGTAGATCGAAGCACCGAAGAGTATCTCGTATATTACGAGACACTTTGTATACTGGAACAAAGGAGTGACATAATTAGAAAACCGTTTTTTACTTCGTAAATATATTAGTAAGAGTAATACGAATCAGCGTGAATTGTACAGAAATTTAGTTAGAAAAAGGAAAATACGTAGATCGCCATAAATGATAACCTAACCTAAGCCCCATAAACCGTCTCCGTCCATTTCAGCTTACCGAAAAATTCCTCGAAACTTTTTCCCAATTATCCCCACTCTACGATAGCAATTTCGCCGATCCGTAATAAAGTCGTCGTTCTCGTAAACTTCAACCAAAATGAACTCCCTCGATTCCATCCGACGAAGAAGTACAAACTCGCGGAATCGTTATTAAAAAATTTTCTGCTTACGCGTTCAAAGATAAATTCCTTTAGCTCGCGGTTAATTTGCAGGAAAAAAGTGACTGTCTTGTCAAAACTGTTACACCCTCGCCTCTTGTCAAAACTTCTCCAGTTCGTCGCTGAGCAATTCTCTGTGGCTGAACTGCCACAGAAGCGTCCCCACTCCTGTCAAAAACTGACACGATAGAATCGATGGGACAGCAGCGCCACGGTCCGATTTCTACGGAGACATGCCAAAGCTATCGGTTAGGGGCATCCGAACGTAATCAATTTCTATCGATAATGGCGCGGATGAAAGATTATTATCGGACCAGAGGAATGTTCGTGGCTGTTGATAGAACGGTGGCGAGGAACGTGTGTGAATTGAACGGCGACGATAGAGGTTGCGTGATGTATGGAACTTACGACGTATAATTTGTATTATCAAACTAATTTCAAAATAGAATGGATAATAACGTAGAGAATGTAGCATCGTGGAGGTTACTTAAAAATTCAGACTAATGAAGATGAATACAGAAGTATAATTTGTTCTTTGTTTCTGTGTGTCTAACGTCGAAGTAGAATGGTTAGGTTAATAATTTGTGCTAACGTATACAGAGCGTTTCAAAATTAGAGGTTAATTGAACAGAGTTTTTTGTCGAGTCAAATGCGCCGGTTAATAGAACTCGTCGGGAGGAACAAAAAAATCTGAGTGAATATGTGTCCGAAAATGAATCGTTTTGCAAATTCAATTCAAACTTAAGTTCGTAACATAACCTAATTCTTCATTTAACCAGAGAATCTGTACGTAATACACTGTATTTTTTTTTAAATAAATACTCATTGGGAAAAGGGTGCTACATTCGAGAAGAAGAAAAAAGATCCACGAGATAAAGGCGCCAATGAAATCGATTTACTAGGGTTACTAAATTACGATCGAGCGAGAATTCGATGCATCGACGATCGATATGTACTACTCGTTTGTTGCTCGTTCGATTTTACCATGTTCTAATCTAATACAGTCTGCTGCGAAGTATCTAGACTCATTTGTACCAACCATTTAAAACTCAATATCCCTAGAAACATTAATTTTCCAACATGTGTACATTGGCTGTAGCTTTTTCATTTCCTTAAGTGAGAAAAACGAAGCTATTTCGAAACCCCTTGTACACGAAACAAACCATTTACAGCGTAAGTACGTATTTGTCCAGTAAGGTACGTCTCTCTTAAGGCAGCCTCGCCGAAAATTGAAGTGACGGGAGAACAGGTAGTCGGAAAGTGGGTAAATTGTGACTGACCAAAGAGAATTCGAGAAACTCGAGGAATCCCTGCGCGTGTAAGTAAACGGTCGGCGCGGATAAACCTGTTATTCCCTGCTGCAAAATGTCACGGGAATAACAAGACCGCAACAGTGAGATGATTACTAGCGCAAATGTTTACTCCGCGCGATGTGCGATCAACGGTCAACAACCGTTCGCGTCCACGGTCAAAATTGGAACTCCTCGACCGAAAGTCAAGCAATCATTCCTGTCACCGAAATCTAAATTCTATTTACCGCTGTTTCCCCTTGTTCAAGCACCGTGAATATACATTTTTAATAACAACAAAGTGTTAGGTTACGTTAGAGAGGTGAGACATTGGAGTTGTGACGTAGAACATTAATATGCAGGGTGTTTCAAAGTTAAAATTAGAAAAGACATTATGATTTTTTTATTTGAACTGCATCGATAGTAGATGTTTCAAATTTTGTAGTTATTTGTACATACTTGAAGAACACTTGCATATTTTTCACTTTAAGTATTCTATTGTTGTATTTGTTTATTACAATTGTCTAAATATTTATTTTTTCGAGAAACATATCGATCGAAGAATCATTGTACTTAGGTTTCAAAAAAGACTCGATGTTTTCTTGTTTAACAAGAAAATTAATTAAATTACTCTTTCTGAGGGACCTTCACATTTTACGTCAATCGTTCTTCAGAACGACTAATAAAAAATTTAATCACTTTACTTTCTCGACACAGCTTATATATTTCACGAATACCTTGAGTCGTTGAGAAGAAACTTCTTCCACCGTGTTACCCCATTGAAATAACTTTTTGACCTTTCACTGCTCCGTGTAAGAGACACAAGTGACAGTTTTATGAAAGATCCATAAATCGTTACCACGAACGTATTGTACCGCAGATATTGCGACGCATTCAGCAGTCGAAGGGCATGCTCCCGGAAAGGAAATGAAGGTCCCCGATTTGGCAGGCGGACCCTCTAAAGTTGGTCAGCAAACTGAGGAAATCCTGAACCCAGAGCTTGTCAGATAATCCAAACTCGACATCGAACGCTCGGGAATCTTGGTTCACCGTACTGCATCCGTAATCTTAGTTGCTCGTGTGACAACTCTGTACTCTCTGTTTGGAGACAAACCGACTAACTCGCCTGTACTGTAACGTTACCTTGAATCAGGAAGGCAAATTTAAGGTTAAGTTAGGTTTGAAATTTAGACAATAAGGTATTGGATAGAAGTTTTGTATTACCTGTTTCAATGAGAATAAAATTTATTTCCTTTGAGTACACTCTGTATAAATACAATATCATTTGATGTTCTTTCATTACCGAGTAACAATCGTTACAACATAAACAAGATTTGAGAAACGTGTTGTGTAGAGTGAACATCGAGGCCAAGTAACATGGAATGTATAGTGTATAAATATTAGTAATACAGTTACAAATTGGCTGAAGTTTCTGTTTGGCCATTTCCCCGTGCGCGTTTTGATATTTCAACGCCAATGGAGCAAGGTACAATCACCTAGTCAGCGAACCTAACCTCCTAGAATAACGTGGAAATTTGCATTTCATAGAATACGTTAGCTGCAGAAAGAAGCGTCAGTTCGTTTTGCGAAATTTATTCAATATATAAGATTGGTATTAAGACAGGACGTCCCATCAAAACGGTTCAATAAACGATACGCTTTTTCCAGGCAAGTAGACGCATTCCTGAGTGGCCTGTGCTTTCGTTGATTGTACGCGAGGCGAATTCTTTCGTGAGAGAATTCCAAGCCATGTAGAATGAATCCAATCGGTATTCCCTCGGTCAAGTCTTGCTTCTCAAGGAACAGAGCATCGGATATATCGTATCGAGAGATCTCCGTCCGCCGTTATTGGATTTTATTCACTGAACTAGACCCTCTCTCTGTGTCTAACAATAAGATTGAATTTGAGCACTGCCGGGCAAAAACAAACGTAGCCCTCTCTGCTCCATCCTTCAACCAAGAGATTTCTTTTTCTACATTTAAGAGAACCATCCAGACTACCCATTCTTCGTTAACGTCACTTTATCTGGCCTCGATTGTTGCATCCACGTTGTGTATATAAAAGACCATTCGTAGATTCTTGAAACTGATTAGTGAGGAATCATTGCACTGTCGGAAAATTTCGAATATATAAGGGGAACCAAAACAGTTTTGAATTTACCTCTTCATTTTTTGTAGAAGTATAAGAAAAAAATGTACGATTACACTGTCGTCATCGGTGACCTTGAAATTTAAAGAAGTCTATAAACAACTGGGGAAGTATTTAAGAACTGTACAAAAGCGTGTTTAATAAATCTTGATGTATGCAAATTTTGATTCACCCTACAGATATTAGGTCCTTTAATTCGACCAATAAGTTACCTCCTTTCGTTACATTAGATTGTATTACCGAATGAAACATTCTGCTAGCGTTATTGAGAAACAGAAAAAGCGAAAGGGTTCCTTCTGATTGCAGAGCCAGTCACGGAGATCGCCGGAGGTCCAGATCTGTTCATCAACAAGGACAGCACGATAAACCTGACATGCCTGGTCAAATATGCTCCCGAGCCACCGTCCATGATTGTTTGGAGTCACAATCACGAAGTAAGCGGAATGCTTGAAACACTTTCTTCCTTCCTGTTTATGAACAGCGAGATCAAAGGGGACGCTTCAGACCCTGAAACATGGTAGTCGAATTTTGTAGGTTATGTGTGAACACGGGAAGTAGCTGGTTCCAAAATTAAAATTTCTACATTCGTACCTTGATTTTTGATTTTGTAGATTAACATAACCTCTTAAGCCCTTTGTATTATATACATTCCAGAGGATCCTGAAACACGTCATAATCGATTTTAAATGATAAGTAGCAAAACTCTGTAACATCTCGTTGAAATTTCCCAAATCACATGTCAGGTCGGAGAATAGCGATGCTCGCAATAGACAGACATATTTCTCCACGCTACTAAAAAGAATCACAGGTACACGAACGTTTCATGCGGCATTGTTATCGCGCGATATCGATTATCGCTGCAGTCGAAGGCGTTCCTGCGAGCCCCGTTATTTATGAAGCCTACTAACAAGCTCACAATTGTTCTCCAACAACGACGCATCACGGGTAACGCATAGATAAAGATAGCCGGAATGTAAATTAATCACGGATGGGATGAAATATCCCGATGATCGAGAAACGCAAATCCCCTTCGATGATACTGATTTATCGCTAAAAAACATTTCATGGCATTCCTCTATCTCTAGGTTAGGAAGAGGTTATAAACGATCGATGGTCAGCAGCTAGGACGAAAGTTAAACTCAAACTGCGGCTCGTTGAAAATGCATCGAAAGTTGCATTCTATTTTCTTTTCATTCCCACAATGTTTCTCGTGCTTCGTTTAGATTGTTCTTCCGCTAGAGGAAACTAAGTGGTTTCTTTGTACCATGTACAATGCAAAACATATTGAAACAGAGAGAAATATTAGGTACGCTTGAAAGTAATCCACCATTTTTTGTGAAATTCACCACTTGTTTCTGAGGAAATGGAAAACTTAAAATAGCTTGAATACATTCGCTGTTTGCTGATATCGTGAACTGTGTATTTTAGTTTTGAAAAAAGCCTGGTCTTTTATCGATATCGTGAAGCAATCTAACTGGAGAAAAACTACATCGTTATCTCGTTAAAAAAATAGTGGATTATTATATTGGTAGCCGTGTGGCATTAATTCTGTCCGTTTCTGTAAAAACAGCAACGTGGAAAGTGGCTTTCAGGGTGAGTTGGCTGGCCGCGATTTCGGTGTAGGCTGAAAACGTGTTTTAGAGGCATTTGTCCCACGATGCATTTCGCCACTTAAAAGAGAGACACTTCCCGTCACCACTTGTCCCCTCGTCTGCAGAGCAAAGTAGCTTTATTCGTAGGTAGTCACGTCACGAGGGCCGGATAATGCGACTCGCTTGTCTGTCTTTCTTTGTTTCGCAGGCGATTAACTTCGACTCGCCGAGGGGCGGCATCAGCCTGGTCACGGAGAAGGGACCCGTGACTTCTAGCCGTTTGCTCATTCAGAAGGCGATCGAGAAGGACTCCGGACTCTACACTTGCTCGCCAAGCAACACTCATGCGAACAGCGTACGAGTTCACATCGTTAATGGTAAACGAAAATTGTAGTGGATGGTAGGGCTAGACCTATAATGAAGATCAAATATATTACACTGAAAACTATCATTGTAATTGTTTGTCATGTTCAACCTTTTGATCAAATCCTAGACAATTTTGTCCAGTTAAATTAGAAATTAGCAGTAACAGCTGTTAGACATAAGTCTTCATCCTAGAAGTGATCATTCATCTGACTAGTAGCCCATGTACTCACTGAGTAATGATTTCTTATATTAAATGCCTTTCTCATATCCAAGTAGTACTACAAAGAAGCTGTTAAGATTTATAGATCTTGTCGTTATTACTTTTTTATTGACTTTACATTGTACCACAATAGATTGTTGGTCTGTGCTAAATAAAATTATGCTATATAAATTAATTTGACGTCAATTCAATACACATATATGCCCACGTGATCACTACTGTGTCAAGAAGTCATGATCACTTAAAGACGTCAGCCGAGAAGTGTCCTTGAACAGCCAATACATTTGGTCTGTGCTATAGTCAACCTAATTCTTCACTGCGACACCCTTTCCCGACAAAGCGTTACCCCTTGTTTCCACGAGTGCAGTCGATCGTTCCACTTTCGTAACACACCTTCGCTTCCCTTCCTTTCTTCGTTCTTCTTCTCGACCTGAAGAAGTTTCAACTGAATCTTACGACCATGTAGAAACTTTCAACTGCATATGTTGATTCTTCCAACTGTTGTAGAACTATCGTAGAATCCACTATAGTTCCTTTACATGTACCTACGTGTGAACAATGTATAATTCAGTAAAATCTACATTTATGTAAGTTCAATTTCTGTACATTTATATATACGTATAATGTTGACAAAAATGTTGAAATTAATTAACTAGGCATACTAATAATTCAGAATTAAGTTTTCCATTTTTACTTATGATTCAAAAATAATAGTCTCATCGCCGATCTTTCAAGAATTGTAAGGTGTAACCTTCCGGTAAAAATCTCGATTCAATTATTTCAATACACCCACATCAAAGTTTCAGCCTTTTCTCCAATTTTGTTGTTTCTTAATTTTTGCTACATATTATTCACTTTAAAGATACCAAATAGTACGTAAAAAATATTTAAAACTGTCATCCCAAATTTTTTCTCTCTTTAACTCGCTTATATCCAGCACTTGACTAAATTATACAATATTTCCATCTCGATCCTTCTCCGCGGTTACTCACCAAAATCACTTTGCATAGCATTAACCCGAATACCGGCGCGGAGACACACGAAATTAAATATCACCGCGTTTCAGCTGAAGAAAGCGGCGTTATTACAATAACGCGGGCATAATTTCGATTCGTTTCGTTTGCTGACTGGCGACGCACGCTGTAAACGAGTTTCGTAAACCGCGTAATCAAAATGAAATCTTCGGTCGCGTACAAGTTTTGGTCCGTTTCACGCGACGAGACCGAGAAGGAACCCAGGGAAACTTCCCGGAAGAGTTTGTTGCGAGCACGCCCGTTTCAGCCAGTTCCAACCAGTTCGCGAAACTTCATTTACGCACCACTCAAACATATTAGGAGACGCTGTTCGCGCGTAATTTCGTGTAATTGCATAAGCCAGGTGGAGGTGTTGACGCGTTCGCTTCGACGTCAATCGACCAAGAAATCATCTTTCTGTACCTTTCTCTCGGGAACGAAATTCGGCAGTGTTCCCTTAATTGTCCTAAAACATATAGGGTGTTTGACAGATAGGTTATTTTTTCGAGGTTATTCGAACATGGATCGTATTTTCTATACTTACGTAGTAGAACATAATATTATTGTCGTGATAGAAGTAACTTCTAAGAAATCAAAACACTCGCTTAAATATCACAGAGTTATTCTCACGAATTCCTGGTATTGTTCGGTCAATGTTACGTACGTTATTCATGTTTGACAATGATTTATTTTTAACGCAACACTGAAACAAAAATATTGGAAATTCAGAAATAATTGTTAACATATTAATTTTCATCCACTTATTTTTGCGAAATTTCAGAATTGTTCAAATAAAATCGAACAGTTTTACAAATTTTTATCGATATGTTAAAATGTCGCATTCTAACCTAGAATCAATGATATTCAATTCGAGATTTAGCGCTACTGTAATCTGGACGCGAATGCTGTTCCGAAAGTTACACGCTACAATTCATGGAAGGGAAACTTCCTTTTTACATCACGTCGTAAATTTTCGTTTGTTGCAGAGCATCCAGCAGCGATGCATCACGGGAGCGGCGACAGAATAGCTGCGACCTTACTTACCCCCGTTCTACTTCTTTTGATGATCATTTAGCCGGTGCTCAGTTTCCGCGGAACGGCTTAACCGCGGTGTAAAATGCGTGCTATCGATTCGAGTCGATCGAGTTTATCTTTATTCGAGCGACTTCGCGTGAACTATCATCTTCAACGATCGTAACTTTATTTTACGTGAATACTTTTATATGGATCATCACTTAAGTTTCTGTTCTTCTAATTTTATAGTACCGTTTTATTATTTTTTTATTTAATATGGGCAACACGATTAAATATTTTTCATTTTTCTGCAAGATCGATCATACTTAGAAAAACGAAAAAAAAAAAGAGGAAATTTCGTTGTTGTCCTTTGAAGACAACGTAAAGACTTAATACTTAAGACTTGTAATAAATGTACTTTAAGTAAACGTAGAGGAAAACACAAATAATTCACTAGAAAGAGGGTACGAATGAATGAATTCGTTCTAAATATTTACCTGGTGAAATTTCCCTTTCCCTTTGTTCGTTATATCACTTCTATAACATTTAAAATATCTCGAACCATGCATCACCAGTGAAGTATTAAAAGACGAATATAACACGATAGCGGTACGATTATTTATGTATGTTGAGTGAATGAAATTCCATTTCCCGGTCCTTGGTTTTATCACTTTTATAACCTTCAAAATATTTAGAACCACGCATCACCATTTAAGTATTAAAAAAAACGAATGTCCGCTTGTCAAGTGAAACCGTTGGATGGATCACAAATATTCGAATATCCCTTCCCTACAAAGCTAACAGTCGACAATCGAAACAATCGTTTCGATCGGGCCACCAAATCCGTGTTCTCGTTGTTGCCAAATCGTCGAAAACGTTTCACGGATCGCTTGGATTTTTTTAACAAGCTTTTCACACCAATCGGGCCGCGAGCTACGTAATTTCACGATCGAATCGGTAACCGAGTTACGATGGGCACATCCTAACCATCGAGGTAGGATTTAATTAAATAAAAACATGTTTCAAGCATTGTCGTGGAAATTTCACAGTGGCGGACCGATAATAAACTCGCCACATTGCTACGCCATCGGAACTTTCGCGTTGTTTTCGTCGTTTCGACACGTTTATCTCGAACAGGATAAGTGTCGAAGCGTCTTGCTATCCCGGCAAACTTGTTACATTCTGTTCCTGTCGGCGAGAAATAGAATCAACGCCATCTAGAGGAACGTGCACTCTTCCGTGTTCCTTGCCCGGTAATCGATTTATGAGGAAGGATCGAATCTTGACTTAAAATCGGGCGGATTAATTTATCAACGGAATTTAGAATCGCGTTGCATATCAGACGGAACGATCTGCGAAAGTTCCGAAGGAAAAATGTGAAGTTTGTGTGAATGCAACAACAGAAGTATGAATTAAGTATATATGTAGGATAAATGCAACGAAGCTTTCATGACGTTTAAGGTTAAAAACTTTCTACATGTATCACTGACGTGTCCATTCTTATTATTCTGTTTCTGAACTTATGTGTGTGCTTAAACATGACAACTTTCAAAGAACTTCGCTACTGGGTGCATTAGTTTTCTTTGTACTCCATCGATCTATCGATTTATTGATTCCCTTTCTTATCGATCGTGTTAACAACCACCTAATCTTCTGCATATTTGGGGAACGAGAATAATCATGAAACTTGTGGATAGAAAAATAGGTTGCATATAAAAGTTGTGCATTTTTGTACACAATTCTGAAAAAAACCAAAGCAAGTGTCACTGATACGTGTAAACAGGTCTTTATCCTTCGAAGTCAAAGTGGTTCGAGCTTCAAGACTTCCTTCACACACGAAGGCGAGTACGAACTCTTCATTAAATCATTTCTTTTGCTGGTAATTTATCGTCTAACCTAGCATCGAGGAAAGAAATTCGTGAAAACGATGCAGAGGTAGCTTCTTTCGAGCGCATTATGAAAATTAAAGGGCGTCATTGCGATGCGACGTAGTTGTCACCAGAAATCTGAAAACGAGTTTTATTTCGAGGAATAAAAGTAGCATGCATCGTGGCGGACACGTTACCATGGTTACCAGCTACGCAGCCGGTACGAGTTAAGGAAAAACAATGTTGCCCTGAATTAAGGAAAGAAACGAAGGAACAGTTTACTCGAAAGCTGTGCGCAGGCTATTTGTACTGATTACTATTTAATTTTCTTCTTTTTACTGAACACTTTAAGCCATCGTGATTACAGTAAACTGCGATTATTTCGTTTTTGCAGAGTTTTTCTCGAACCCGAGGGGGAAACTTTTCTGCCGCTTTAGCGGATACTTTTACGCTGTCGACCGAACAAAAATATGGTTATGAAGGGAATAAAGTGAGACAAAGCAAAATAATCTGTCCAATAGGAAAAACGAAGTTCAATTTTGCAATTGTATCATGGAACAGTAAATTTAATAAATTTTGTTTTTAGGACAAATTTTTTTGCGGGAATATAGATATCGATATACTATATTTAATAATCACGTTTTCTGTTATACCTAAGGGACCACGAAGGTTAAGCAAAGACAGACGGTCCAATTATCCTCGTTAACAAATACTGTTGGGATATGAAAGATGGGTGTACGAGTAAGTGGAAAATTTTCTAGGTTATGTGTACTGAAGATGACACGCCTGCTGCCAAAAAATACGACACTGGTTTTATTTTTCAAATAAATTACGATGAGTACAATTTAATTTTTTTACTTAAATTTTCTACATTTTAGAGACATTTTTATAAAATTAGGAGTGTTCGAAATTAAATGCAGAATCTTATAGAAAATCATCTCATTGAAGAATATGATTATATGATATATTTTACTATCCACGTTATTTCGTTACGTAATTTTCTTTGAGCACTTGCTCAACAATATTGATACTTATGTTTGTCACGTATGTGAAACACCCATGACCTGAAAACAATTTTTTTAGCCCAACTGAGAAAGGGATAAAATCTCATCACCCTGAAGGGTAAGAACTCCCCTAAGGATCTCTCAAGGGTCAGAAGTCAACATTCACAGTGATTCCCTTAGGATAAGGAGTAACCATTCCTTTTGATACCCAAGGGATAAGAACCCACCTCAGCCAAGATAAGGGTATTTGCTGTGTTAGCAAAATCTTGAAACATCATTTCGAAAAAATAAAGTTTGCAGTCAGAACTCTCAGATAATATCAATTGTAAGAACTCCAACTGTGAAAACACAAAATTTCGTTACTACAGTGTACAGGGTGTTTCATGAGCATTACATAACCTAAAAAATTGGTTTTGTAACTAAAACTCCTTGAAAATAACTGTTAAGTTTCATTGAAAAGGTTATGATAACATTTCATGCTTAAAATCGATTGGAAAATCTTTTTTCACGTACCAGACTGATATATTACCTCACAAGAAGGAAAAAAAGTATGCAGTGTCAGGTGCAACGTGTTCGAATTTGAAAACAGTGATTCGAAAACACCATTGATATCGGTTCCTCGGATTTGTTGGCAGCAGACGCGTCAAATGAAGTGTCAACGTTCACGTAACGCGAGTCTTTCGCCAGAATCACAGCAAACACAAATAAAAAAAACTTCGTCGTATATTTCACCCTTATACACTTGTAACACCGTATTGTTAGTTGTAAGCGTTTTTACGAAATCCAAAGGGTGACGAGAGCCGTATGTATCTATATATGTACGTATGCATATAGTAGTAGTTAAAACGGATGGTATGAATTAACGTTGTTAGTTGATAATTATACGAGAACTAGCCGTTAACATCTTCTCCGTTTAAGAGATTTTTTACGAATGTACATAGGTAAGGAACTCGGACTTTATATAGCGACGATTCTTATTCTATCGTTGTAGTGATTTATTAAATTAAAGAGGAAATCTAACCTGTTCAATGTTGTTCTTTGAAATTATTTACGTATTAGTAATTTACCTCATCCAATAACCTAAACAAACATAACCTCAACTTTAAATTTGTGGAAAATAAGATAGGATTTTTATTTTTGTTAATATTTAATGACAAATTTTGTGAAAAATGTTCAGATTTCTAGAGAATGTATAGCGATATAGCTAACGAGAAATAATGCAACTACCTTTTGCAGCCAAAGAAAATAGGGCAACCCTATGAAGAAACTTTATTTCCGACAGATATGTTTTTAACAGAAAGAGAAGTAACTTTAGAAATCTAACACGAACAATTAAGTCATAATTTTTCTCTTGAAAAGACGTGGAACCCAGGGAAAACTGAAAAACTAGGTCTTTCTTGGTACGGAAGACTTTCGAGGTTAGTTAACGTGAAGTATGGCGAAGCCTCGATCGAATTTGTCATGAAATAATTTCAAGTAGTTTGCGGTTTCATCGGTGCAGTTCGAACAACATGCATATTACACACAGAATACAGACATTTCATTAATTTTCGCAGCCTTTTTAAAACGCTCATTAATCATTCACAAAGTATGAAAAAAACTTGTTCAGTATACAAGTTTAAATTAGGTGGAAAGTTCAATACAAAATCGAGAAAATGTAAATTGTGGAATAATTCTCAATGCATCGTATAACCTAGTCTAATTTGCTTCTAATAACATACTAATTAATAGAAACAAATACACTAAGTAGATTAAGTAAATAATTAATGAGTTATGACACTTGAAGATTTTTTAACTCCATTTTTTTCACTGTACCTCTAAAATCGTTAACCTAACCTAGTCAATTATTAAAGTCGAAATAAAATCAAAATAATTAACAATTTTGTTAAACAACGTATACTTAAATAAAGGTGTAAAATTTGGAACAATCACTATCAATAGTATTTAATCAAAGTGAATCATGAAGTGCTGCGTTTTTCGAGGTTATAAACCTAACCTAACCCTTCTCGAGGAGTACACAAATGTATAAAATACAAAACATCTATCGTCCACAGCATTCGATTAAAAAAAAAAAGAACATTCACATAGTAGCACTTTTGTGCTAACCTCTAAATCAGAAGTACCTTCAAAGTTGCTTCGCCGAAATTCACGCGGAGGGCGGAGCGATTCTAAAATTAAGAGGGGCTAGA